AATCTTGGTGACATTGGTATGAGCTAGTCTTTGTCTCTGACAGTGGTTCCTGTTAAATGGACACAGACATTTATGTTAGCCATTCCTTTTCAGGAAACTCACAAGCATTTCAGGATCTTATCTTGGATATTACAGTGTATATTCATCTCTGTGTGTTTGTGCTCCCTGGGCCTCCTATCAGATAAAGCAGACCAACCTCTTGGTGGTTCTCCTAAACCAAACCACCTGAGGTGGTGTCAGTATTTGAATAAGACTCCTTTATTCAGCCTGTTCCATTTAGGTATCCCTTCATTCTGGTAATACTTCCTCTCTTTTAAATGGGAAATGTCACCAGAGCTCTAAAATGAAAGCCAGCTGTGTACGGGTTCTCTGCTGGTAAGGTATGTAGGCTTTTGCTATAGGCAGTGCTCAATGTGCACCTTTGAAACTGTGCTGGGAGAAAACTGCAACAGCAAAAGCCTGAGAGAGGTGGCCCTTACTTCTTCATCACCTGAGGTATATGTGTGTGTGGCTGACTGTAGGCAAAGCAGGCACTGGCTTTGAGAGTGCTGCAGGCTGGTGCTTTAGCTTCACCCTTCAGAAGTGCCACCATCAAGATGAGGCTCGGCACGGAGCAGCAGTGAAGCTGAAGGAGATAGATAGATACCAGACACCCTCAAACCAGGAGCCACCTTTAGAACTTTCCGTCCAAGGCTGAGTTAGAAGACAGAAATAATACTGTTGTCTTTTCTCATCAAGTTTGGCTAGGCTGTGTCAATACTAACGCACGGACAGACCTTCCATGCAAGATGATATTAAATAAGTCTGTTTACTTGTTATGTTGCTGTGTTACCTCCAATGCATGTGTAACTGGTTATGTCACCACAAATCATGTGGCAGTGTTAGATTTTGTTTGTTTGTTTGCTTTCCTCTGCACAGGTAATGTGGAGTTTGTTTCCCTTTAGAACCGATTCTTTCCCTTCTACCTCACAGTACCCAAATTGTCATTCTGTGTCCTTGAGTCTCTTTAGTCATGCTCCTATAAACCATCCAGGGAGGGCAGGCAGTTCTTTTAGGGAACGTTTAACATCCGTGGTGTTGCAAGAAAGCTTCCTTTGCCCCTAATAGGAAAAACCCTTGGCCTGGGCAGCAAAAGCATCATTGAATCTGCTGGTGCTGAGCAGAGACCTCTTCTTGCAGTTGGTGGTGACAACCACAGAGATGACTGGTATTTCATTTGAGAAAGTACAGCCTCTGTTGGATGAGGGACAGCCTGGCTTCTGTAAGAAGCTCTGACACCTTGAACCTTGTTGGGTAAACATTGTTCAGAACTGTGGAGTCCTTATAATGTCTTCTCCCCTTCAACTGAAGACTTTCCCCTAATAGTGGAAACAACAAGAAACCCGATAGCATGAAGCAGCATCGTCCCTAAGGGCCCACTGCTTTGGTGGTGCAAACCAAGGGAGCTCTGTTTCCAGCAGAGCTAGTTCATCTGAAGAAATAGCCTTTCAACCATACGGATTGATTGCCACATGCAAGTGACTGGGGACTTAAAGTTTCTTGTGCATGCATTTTCAGATTGGACAGCCAGTAGTCTGTACAGCTGAGTTTGCTGAGACAATACCCAACACCCTCTTGCTGCTAGTGAGAAGTGGAGCTCAAACAGGTAACATGCAAAATGCACGTGAAGGGATGGAGTCAGGGAATTCATTTTGTTTCCACAAACAGTAAAAAAACGTTCTCATGATCCCAGTGCACTTGCCAAGACATAGTAAGAGCATGATTAGGACTTAATACTATTTAATAAATATGCTGATCAACTTAGGCAACAGCAACCAACAGTGTGAAACAATTATAAGGGAGCAATTTATTAATTCTGCTTTCTGTTTTAATATTGAATTTGGGCATCACTCCCTAATAGTCTGCAGAAGTCGTCTTCAAACACTGCAGGTACATTTGGCTATCAGAAGAGTATGTATTTATTCTGTATTTACTGCTGAATGGGGGACAAAACCCTCATCTGTTATTTGGGGGGCTGTGAGAAAGGGCATAATAGCATGGAGCTCAGCCTGGGGAGGGATGAAGAAACTATTGAGAGTTTATGGGTCAGGATTAAAGGGAGCGCAGGGACAGTGACATTATAGTGGGGGTCTGCTACAGGCCACCGGACAAGGAAGACTGAGCGGATGAGGCCCTCTACAGACAGATAGGAGTAGCCTCACCTTCACAAGCCCTAGTCCTCTTGGGGGACTTCAACCAGCCCCATGTTTGTTGGAGGGCAGGGCACAAGCAAAGCATTGATGATAACCTTCTTTTCCAAGCAATAGAGGAACCAACAAGGAGAGATGCTCTGCTGGACCTTGTTCTCACCAACAGTTAGGGGCTGGTGGGGGATGTGAAGCTCAAGGACAGACTTGGTTGAAGTGACCATGAAATGGTGGAGTTCAAGATCCTTGGTACGACAAGGAGAGCACACAGCAAACTCACTGCCCTGGACTTCAGGAGAGTGTTCTGCCTCTTCAGGGATCTGCTTGGTAAGGCACCATGGGATAAAGCCCATGGGGAATGGGAGCCCAAGAAAGTTGGATAATATTTAAACATCTCCTGCAAGCTCAGGAACGATGCATCCCAACAAAGAGGAAGTTGGGCAAAACACCAGGAGTCCTGCATGGGTGAACAAGGAGCTCCTGGACAAACTCAGACACAAAAGGGAAGCCTACAGAGGGTGGGAGAAAGGACAGGTAGCCTAGGAGGAATACCGAGAAATTATCCAAGGAGACAGGGATAAGGTTAGGAGAGCTAAAGCCCTGGTAGAATTAAATCTGGCCAGGGATGGCAGGGGCACAGGAAAAACTACTATAGATAGGTCAGCGATAAAAGGAAGAGTAGGGAAAATGTGGGCCCTCTCTGGAAGGAAACAGGAGACCTGGTTACCGGGGATATGGAGAAGGCCAAGGTCCTCAACAACTTTTTTGCCTCAGTCTTCCCTGGCAAGTGCTCCAGCCACACCACCCCAATTGCAGAAGGCAAAGGCAGGGACTGGGAGAATGAAGAACCGCCTGCTGTAGGAGAAGATCAGGTTTGAGACCGCCTAAAGAGCCTGATGGTGCACAAGTCCATGGACCCAATGAGATGCATCTGCAGGTCCTGAGGGAACTCGCAGATGAAGTGGCCAAACTATTACCCATCATATTTGAGGAATAAAAAGGAAGACCCAGGGAACTACAGGCCAGTCAGTCTCACCTCAGCTGGGCACTTGGAGGCAGCTCTCTGGCCTTGGGGATCCCAGGAATCCTGTGGAGCATCTGCAGAGGTTGCTCAAAACTCCCACTTGGTCCCCACTGAGCAGGGCCTGTCAGGCATCTGTCAGGGATAGAGCGTGCTCTAACAGGGTGTCTTGCTCACACAGACCCCACACGTTGCTTCAAAGCCTGCCTTCTTTGCACTTCCCATTTTGAGGACCTGTATCTGCAGGGCCCTCAAATACAGCACACCCCCCCTCCAGCATCCTCCTTCCACAAACATACATTCTTCAGGTTAAATATTAGTCAGCAACAGCTCACATACATAGGATTTGGCTTTATTACCTGAGTAAATACATGATTACTGAAGGGAGTTTCCGAGGGCAGGAGGTGTGAGCTGCGCAGCTCCTCCTGGGCCTTCCGGTGCAGTGGAGGAGCTGGGGCACAGAGCAGCGGGGTGCTCCCCTTGCCCTCCTCCCTCGCTGCTGCCAGCACACAGCCCATCACGGTGGCGGGCAGGGATTCTGCTGTCCCTTTTGCCCTGTATCACTTGATCTACACTGGATCTTGAAGTCCTGCTCAGCAAAGACTGCCAGCTGCTGCAGCAGGGCTGGCCCCGGCAGAAAGCATCCCAGTGAATACCTTGCTGCCGACCTTTGGTTCAAATACCAATATTTAGCAAGCAAATATTTAAAACCATGCCGTTAAGAAGGCAGGCATGGCTTTACCATGGGGAACTCGGGCAAGGGGTGCTGCTGAGGTAGTCCTGTGTTGGGAGAGGAAGGGGCAAGCAGCCTTCCTCCCTTCCTCTCCCTCTCCCAGCCCATAATACCCACACCTGGGAGGGGCAGATGCTTAGACCCCATCCACAGATGGCTGCTATACCAAGCAAGGCAGGAGATTTAAGGCCTTGGAGGGCTGGAATTTGTTTCAACCCCAAAAGCAAAAGAGCTGTGGCCATCCCTGCTGCTCACCTTGCCTGCTGCCCCATGCAAGCAGAGGCTGTGAGAGAGGGAGGCCACCTTGCCGATCTGGCTGACCAGAGCACAGCTGCCCCATGGGACTGTCCCCAGCTTCTGTGGGGAAGAAGCTGGGACCCACATACTGATGAGTCCTCAAGAAATCAGTTGGTGTCAGTCAGCTGCAGCAACAGGCCAAAAGGGTATTTTTCTCTCAGGAGTGGCACAGAATTAGCTCTGTTGGTCAGTTTATAATTAGGCACTTGCACCTAACAGTATTCTTTCTGTTGGATTTTTATAGTTTTGTCTCTCCTTTTTTAAATGTGAAAAATAATCAGGCTTAAAATAAAATAATGTAAAAACAAAATCAAAATTACCCTGGAAAGAGTGCTTATAAAAAGAGAAAATCCTTGCCAGAGGGATGCCGCAAGCCACAGAAAGCCCAGCCTCAGGCCTCCCTTTTCCGCAGCTCCTCAGAGGTTAACCAGGGTCTGGAAGCAAACAGCTTAAAGAAGGAGCCCAGCTTAGTGCCTGGGTGTCTCAGGCTGTCCCAGGGACCGGCAGCCTAATGCCCTTCCAGCAGCCCCTCCCTCCCTCCCTCCCAAAGGCGATGCCAGGCAAACAGAGCCAGCCCTCGCCCTCCCCGCGCAGCAGGGAGCCCGCTACGGCACGGACCGGACCCGTGCTGGGGCTCGGGACCTCGCAGAAGAGGGTGTTTCGCTGCAGACGGGCGCAGAGCCATGTGTATATAAACCCAGGCGGCGGGCTAGGGAGGCTGCTTAAGCACAACCGCCCCTCGGCTCGCTCGGCCCCTCAGCCCAGCGGCTGAACCCCGGCGCACCGGAGCGTGACAGCGACCTGCCCATGGGCTCCCGCCTGCTGCTGGCACTGCTGCTGCTCCAGGCAGGTGAGTACCACCGCCCGGCCCCTCGCCCTTCCCGTGCCTCCGCTTGCTGTCAGCTTTGCCAGCCTCACGGCGGGCACCTAGCCGTGTGTTGGCCAAGAGGAAAACAAAGCGCTGCTCGACTCTCTCCAGCTTTATAAGCAAGGGCTGTGTAAGTGAGCCGCCTGCCCACCTCGCTAGCGGTCCGCATTGCTGGGGCTGTATAAACACAGCTCATTTTCCTTCTGAATAGTTTCCTGCTACAAAGTTGTTGGTATCTCCGTCTCTTCATAGAAATCATAGACTAGTTAGGGTTGGAAAGGACCTTGAGGTCATCTAGTTCCAACCCCCACCATGGGCAGTTGGAAGTACCTTCTTGTTCTACCAGTGACCATGGAGTACGCAGTTTAAAATTTATCTGAAGTTAAAATAATTTCTAAAAAGGCTGTTAAAAAGGGCCATAAATGTCTGCTAACACAAAGCCCTCATACGCAGAGAAGATGTTACACTAAGCTGTCAGGACTGAGGTTATACCTGCAGTACAGTTCTGAAATAAACACCTAAACCTTGACTTAATCCACAGCAAAGACTGCCCGTTTAAGCAGGAAATAGAATGTGTGAGTTGTCAGATCCACCTCTGCTCCCCTCCCTGCAGGTATGTTCTCTGCTAAGGTGCCCTGTTAGTAGTATAACTAATGACTGTGCATGTTCCTCAACGGCTAAATGCAGGCTGCTGGGGAGATGCAGACCTTTTCAAGGCTTTCCCAGCTGTTCTGTCTTGAGCTGCCCAGCATAGAAAAAGCAGTTTCAGTTCTTGGACAAGTTATTAGCCATGCACCTGAATACTGAAGCTTACTTGCTGGGGTTGACCTCTCAGCTGCAGCAACACATCCGCTCAAAGCCCAGCCAGCCTTCAAAGAACAGAGTGGGAACATCAGAGGCTGCCTGGATGCTGGAGTGACTTCAAGCTCTTGCAGAGCGTGCAGCCCTAAGCACACTAACCAAGTCTCTTTGACTCAATTCCCTTTGGGGCTTTCTCTCCACTTTCATGAGCAGCTCTGCACTGTAATTACAGTTCCTTGATCCTCAGAGATACCCCTAAAAGAAGAAAGGTCTTTCTTCTTCTGGGTGAGCTGCAGTTACCTTACACCAGCCTTAGCCAGTGACCAGCAGACCAAGAGGTCAGCAACAGACAGCTGAAAAACCTGCAAACTGCTTGTCAGGAGGTCTGAATGCCTACAGAGAAGTTTTTGTTTCCATTTTGAGGGTCTGCAAACTGCAACAGGTTGAAAACGTGTGATTTTAACCCAAAATCCAGGGCAGCTCACTGCTTGTGATTTCCCCCTAGGGCACCTGGGAGCTGAGCCCCTTTCTAACTCTGGAGCCCCACTGTTTAGACAAGGGAAATAGGTCATCTCTTAGTTTTGAATAACACCCGTCTAATGTGTTTTTAGCATGAAACCCGAACACTCAAGCAGTGTTTAGGTGAGCAGCGCAGTTACTTTTTCAGGAATGTGCATTTAATCCCTGAGGAATGCTCCGGGAAGCATAAGGAGGCTATGTGAAACCCATACCAGCACAGCCTGAGGCACCAATCGCAGGATGGGAAATGCTGTGGGGCAGCACTCCCCTTTCTGAAGGTCTTGGCCTGTAGAGAAGGAGCAAAGCCCTGCCTTGTTCTGCATGGGGAAAGACCCTCCTTGTCCTTGCTGGTGCCTCAATCAGGCTAGAGGGGTGAGACAGCCCAAGAGATCCTGGGTGTGAAGCCCAAGGAAGGGGATTAGAGGCTGGGTTTTAAAAGGAAAGCAACAGTTTTAAATAGTATTGCGTCCTCGGGTGGTTTAGGGGATTAATTAGTCTGTGTTTGCACAGCACTTTGAAGAGGTCAAACGTGCAGGAGGCAAAGAAACTTCAGTAGCGGGTTCCCAGCTCCCAGCATCATCTCCCTCTCCGTCTGAGTGCGCTGCAAAGTACCCCCCATACCAGCAGGCTTTTCTTGTTGGGGTGGCTGTGCATGGGTGGGATGAACTGATGGGGTAGGCAGTCAGTCTGTGGGGTTCAATACTAGGGGTGAGTAACTTTGCCATGCACGATAGAGCAGTGCAAAGTGCTCTTTGTCCTTCACAGTGGACACAGGCAAGAAATACTCTCGTCTGTCGCTATGCTTAACATGATAAGCACCAACGTTTGCAGCTGAGCATCAAAGCTGTTTGAGCATTGGGGCAGGGCACTCCTGGTTTCTGTAAGGGTCACTGCAAGGTAAAGCCTGTGATTTCTGAAGAGTTGCAAATTAACATGTGGAATGACAACCCTGCTGGAAAGACTTGTACCTCGAAACCCCCTCAACCAGTTTGGGGGCCACTGGCACAGGACACAGAGCTCCCTTCGTCAAAGCTAATGCAGCCAACCTGATGTTATGACTTAGATGGAATGTAATAACGGAAGCAGAGGTAAGTGTTGCCAGCACCTCCAGATGCTCAAAAGAAAGCTGCTACACATACATCTTGGCTTATGTAGGCACTCTGTCCCAGACAAAGTGTACTTTACAGGCTCAGGGACTTGTAGCTGACCCTACAGAAATTAATAGTACTGTCAGCTTTTTGTGATCTGGAGAAGGGGTTAAAACATCCAGAGTAGTAGGGGAAACCTGGATAATATAAGGCACTGTGGGTAACACAGAAACTTCTATGGAGAAGGGGTTAAAACATCCAGAATAGTAGGGGAAATCTGGATAATATAAGGCACCGTGGGTAACACAGAAACGTCTATTTTTGCTTAGAGCCCAGGTTAGGTCTGGTTGCACACTTGTCCTCTGCTGTTCCACATCCCACTTGGGACCACAGCATAGCTGTCCCAGGTTTGGGAGCTCTGGGGCACAGTGAAGCCCAGCTGGCTCTGCATGGTGCTGGCGCAGGCACTATAAAGCCAGGCTTGGGGTACATGTTCTGTTAAACCAGGTACACTGCTCTCAGGTATCATATAGCTGCAATCACACCCTAGTGCACCAGAGCTAGGGAGTCTTGCTTGAACTGAGCAATCTCTGCAGAAATAGCTGGCTTGGGTATTTCTGCATCCAGCCCCCAGATAAGGCCCCACACAGTCTACTTTGCAGGCTGAATGTCATGGCTAATGAGATTGCCAGGGCTCAACCAACCCAACCAAACAAAAAAATCCCCCACTAAGGACTTAGGAGGATCATGTGAAGCGTTTTCAATCCTTGTGTGTAGCCATGTCCTGTCTTTGCAGTTTGGAAAGGTGCTCTGGGAAAATCCCATTCACTGCACACCCGAGGAATCATTGAATTGGCAGGAGCTATATCGTGTGGTACAGGACGGTCTCCCTTGGCGTATATTGGCTACGGATGCTACTGTGGACTGGGAGGACATGGCTGGCCTAAAGATAAAACAGACTGGTAAGAAGAACCTCAACTGTGTGTCCAGAAGCAGTGCAGATCTCCCCACTCTTCCCCGTATATGCTATGGTGACTCCACGGACTCATTGCTACCTCATAGAGAGGGAATTCAGTACATGCGAACATCACTGGGGAATTGTGAGGACTCACGTATCACTTGGTGTTTGAATGAGGGCTTAGCCACCTTCTGAATGGGACCAAAGCTCTTGGGGCTATGTGGGGTGGAGGGCAAAGGAGTAACCAGGATATGATTTCCTGAAATAGTTGCATGTTTATCCATAGAGAGCAAGCCCTGCCTGAAAAAAAGGGAAGTGATCAAGGTATTTGGAGGGTTGTTTCACTCAGGTCCTGAAAATGGCTGTGATGGGAATATCAGTGTTCATCCTCTGGAAGAAATCCAGATCATTGCAAGAAATAATAAACCCCATTGCCTTCATTGCCTGTTAATTCACACTGAATAGAGGAAGAACAACAACAGGGGAGAGCATTGTGTTATTTCCCCTTTTCTTTGTTGGTAGGGAAGATGCTGTGCTTATTCCTGAGGCTACAAGCAATGAGTCTAGGAGGTGTTGCAATCAAAGGTTTCTTCCTTGTACTTTGCAATTAGCATACATTTAAATCTTGAGCATGGCGGACTTTTGTGTGCTCTGAGCCCGTTACCTGCAATCTTATCTGGTTTGAAACCTCACAGACAGAGCACATGAATCTGTTTATCTACAGTCGATAGGGTGTGTACTACTAATAGGCAAGTGCAGCTTTTAGCAGAGGACAGAAAAAGGGTAAAAAAGGAACAAAAGATGCCAAGGTTAAAGACCAGCTCCTCTGGGCATGAAAGAACAGGTGTCCCTTGAAACTAGTGGAACTGTCTTCATTGATGTAGTGAGATGTTTCACTTCCAAAGCCCTCTCATCGCATCCCTGGTTTGTATCTATGAAACATTTCATCTATGAAATCTATGAATTCATCTATGAATAGGGGACTTAGAAATGATGAGTAGCTGCCTACAAAATGTCATCGCTTTCATGTGTAGAGATTTCTTTTACTTCTCAGTACTATCTCTAGACTGGCTTATCACCACCTACAGCAGTGTCTGTAAGGTGGTGTAATTTTTGTTAGCCCTGTACCAGCTCTCATAAGCAGGCCTTTAAAGTAAAGCACGACTTCACTCATCTGGAGTACTTATACTGAAGAGCTAACACCTAAAAGCTGTTTTCCATAGAGGTTGAGTGACCCCCAAGTTTAGGTGACTCTGGGAGATGCAAGTGGTCAGCACTCCTGAAAAACAGCTAGAGGGAATAATATATGGACACACGCTCATCAGCCAGTGTTTCTGCTGCCGTTTGATTTCCATGGGATATGTTTTTTATCCTAATGGCAGAAAATGAGACTCTGCAACTGGAAATGCCTCAAAGCGCCAGGTGGTTTGTAAAAGGGAAGCTTGACCCTTTACGTGCATTCATTATTTTTCCTTAGGTGCAATGCTGGGCTGCAAAAAAATACCCAAAACAAAACAAAGAACCAAAACCAACAAAAAGGTTTTCAGTCAGGTTCTTAGCTAGGAGGAACTGGCAATGCCCCACTAGATTTAGCCCTAAAAATTCCCATTTCATGGCTGCTGGAGGAATCTTCTGTTCCTGAGCACTGCTGCAAAGCTCAGTGTTGTTGAGTACTCATGGCTGCCAAAGTGACCACATTCTTCATATTTGCCATTCTAAAACAGAAGGAAGGCAGAGTGGCAAAATGACTGGCCAAGGGTGACAAACACTGTTTCAAATTACTCACCCCCTTGACACTTCTCGGTTTGTTACTGAGACCCTTACAAAAGGAGTAATTTTCTTGTGAGTAATTCAGTCGATCTGTCTAGACAGGGCTAGAGTGCTTCTGAGCACCTCTTTTCTATGGGAAAATTAAAAATACCATTGAGTGGGTAATCCTTTTATAGGGTTTATTCCACACACTGACTTTGAGCCATAATGGCATTCCCTCTGCATAAAGTCAATAGATTTCTTTCTCCTTCTCCTTTGTGTTCCCCTGGATGGCTGCAGCACTCATTTTGTAAAGCAGGACCTGAAGGTGCTCAGCATCTCCTTGAAAACACCAAATACCATGACAAGCAAAATGGCATATGTGAGTTAAAGCAAAACAAAAGGATGCACAGCAGTGATGGTGCTGTTAACTCGACAAACACAACGTGACAAATTCTTACTAATGGCATTTGCTGAGAGGCAGGAATCTGATCAGCTGATTCCTGAGGACCAGCTGGAGCTGTCTGTAGCCATTAGTGCTGTCTCATAGCCCAGACAGCCATGATGAACAGGTTGTTTACTCAGTAGATGACACAGTTGTGTTTGCTTTCCATACCTGTTGAGCAGTGCTCCCACATAGTGTTGGCTGGCTCTGTTTGCATGGGTCTAACTGAGCGTTAGCAGACTGTCAAAAGCTTAACACCACACTCTGACCCAGGTGCAGGAAAGGGCATTTCCAGACAGGAGGGGACCATCTGAAGGTGGCAAAGGACAGTGATAGGTTTCATCAGTCTTTATTCTCTGGCAGTGCAGTTTCAGCACATCTGAAAGAGATGTTTGTCAAATATGAGCCAAAGTCTTCTCACTTTGTGTTGATGTGAGCCACATGTCACCCTGCTGCAGTTATGGGTATCATCAGGAGGAACTGGTCTGATGGGAAGCAGAATGGTCCTGCAGAATTTATGCAATCCACTGATTCTGCCAAGCCGGATACAGAGCAACAGTTAGCTAGCACATCTCTCTAGTGCTCATTTGCTTGTCCTTGCCTGATTCACAGACCATCTTTTGCCCTCTCCAAGACCTGTCCTCACTTCTCCTACCTCTTTTTCTGTTAATTCCCTCTGTCTCTCCATGAAGAGCACTTTCATTCCCTTGGCACACAGGCTCCTAATGCCTTCCTTTGCCTGTCTACCTTCAGGTTGTTCCTCCTCCCCACATTCCTCCATCACTGACACCAACTTTACCAACTTGACTGATTCACTCCCCAGACCTCACAAACCCTACAATTTCTACAGCTCTGCCTCAGCTCAGCCCAATCTGTGGCTCTCCACCACGGCCTCATGTGCTCTGTGTCCCATATATGCGACACTGATGATGGGCCTGCTCTGCCATCTGTCGTCTCCCTGAGAATGGATGAGACTGTGCTGCTGGTTCAGGTATGTTAGCCAGGATGCCCTGGGCTACAGCAACTCCTCCAAATGACACAAGCCTCAGTCATAGTTCACTGCTGTAGTCCATCCCTGTCACATCGTATGACACACTGTATAGGGACTCAAACATTGGAGAATGCTGAGGCTTTCAATCTATCCACAAGGCTGCAAATTCTTCTCTCCTTTGGCTTTTCATCTCTAACCTCTTCAGAACAAGCCCAGGATTGAGGTGTTACTGGACCAACAAAGATCTGAACCACAGCCTCTTACTGCCATCTTATCCAGCAGAACTGGTTCTATGGGCTGAATAAAGTTTTCTCAATTACAGCAGTTGCTGTAACTCCTCATGGGAAAGCATCTACATACATATATCCCATAGGTCTGAGTCCCATTCTGAACTCCTTTGAGGGGCTGGCATGGAAGGAGATACTAGTCTGCTCCTGATAACCTACATTTCTAGGTTTCACAATGCAGTGAGTAGTCTGGACATAGTCATCACACAGGTTTCATCTTCACGAGCTGAGAGAAAAAAGGCATTTTGTTGGGAGACTCCTCTGTGGGATGAAATTGCTACTTCCAGCTACTAAACTAGGAGCCCATTCAGCAGGGAAAGCACACTGGACTAAATTCAGCCTGTGCGTAATCACAGCAGCTTGAATGAAGGTTGAATTGGAGCCGACTGATTCTGTTGTCCCTTTCACATGATTCCCCTGATCTTGTTCCAGTGATTTTATTAGAATTTGCATCAGTGGTTGGTGCACTTCAAAATAGTTTTACGTTTTCCCCTGGGCTTTATCACCTCACACTGCTCACTAGCCTCATAGCTGTAAACAAGTTTCTGAGAGGAAAAAATCCTGCAGCCAAATGATGAAGTCTGTGATGGTCCTGAGCACTCGGGTAAGGTACTGAGCAGCTCCTGATGGGTCTCCAGAGAAGCCCTGGTTCCTGCACAAGGGACCTTTGCCCTCCTTGCAGGGTTGTCCCACTTTTCCAGAGGGACACAATGATGGATCCCAGACTTTTACCGACTTTTCAGGTATGTTGGCCTCAGGTCTTGAAGACAACAGTCAAGGTTTTCAGCTGGATTTGGTAATCTATGGGGAGCCAGCACAGCTATGCTCCCTTTGGGCCACCTCGTCAATCTCTTGAAAGATGAACATCAAGACTCAAGAGCTTCTCTGAAAGCTGTCTGCTCTTCATTTACCCCTAAGATCAGGCTGCCACGATGATTCCCAGTCAGTAGAGCAGTTTCTCTGTGAAGTCCCAGTGCTCTTGCAGGGACAAGCTTCTGGAAATGCAGGAGATTGCTCCTCTCTGGCTCCAGCCTCTGATCTTGCACCATTGTAGCAACCTTTGTTATTCGGCAGTGGAATCTCTAGCTGCTGAATATTTTCTTGGTGTATTTTGAGCCCCTAAATTACCAGAATAAAATTCAAGCGGGGTCAAATGGTCTATAAATTCTTAAGCAATTGACAGTGCGAAGCATCTCGCTGACCAGTCTATAGGACAGACTGAGCTAGTCACCCTCAGCCCCCTCTATGGTCAATGAAATGCAATTGCACTTGCAAATGCAATAGTTTTCACCTGGGGCAGCTCTCTGCAGTATAGTAATATGAACTGTGCCCCAGACATGCATAAACGGAGTACAGTTCGGTGCCTTAGCTGTGGATGTTTACATTTAGGCATCTGACGTTAACTGATATGAATTCCAGCATTGAGGCTGATGAGTTTGTAGCCAGCCCTCAGAAACTGGATAGATCAAAGGCTGCAGGCCCACGTGAACTGGAGAGATGAAGTTGCCTGGTGATGCTGAGGTTACAAAACACATCCTGACTCCAAATCCTGGGATGGAGTCTGAGCCTGAGCCAGTGAGCCACGATCACACTCTTCATGGGAACATACCAGGTCCCTTCCAGTGAGATTAGCATGTATTGACCACACCTGCCCTTCGGAGCACAGAGGAAGAAGCACGGTTGTCATAGGAGCAAATATGGCATTAATGAGCTCCTGAGCCATGTAGACTTTCACAGGGGTGACAGGATGCTGGTTCATCAACAGATCATTTACTGACCAGGTGGGGCAAACACTGCTGTCGTGAGCTGTGTGTGACTGCAGCACTCCTGAGTACGTGCAAACGCCCCTGAGCAAATCATGCAGGAGGATGCCCAAGGATGACCTTTTATTCTCCCACAGGTGCTGCCACAGGCATGACTGCTGCTATGACAAGGCAGAGAAGGAAGGCTGCAGCCCCAAGGTGCAGCGCTACCAGTGGGCATGTGAGCAGAACGCTGTGCAGTGTGGTAAGGAAATGCTTGCTCGCTTTGGGTTCACTTTGTTCCCTCCTTGGCAGGCACTAGGCTGACCTAAGAGCTTTGTGGGCCTCAGGGGTAGGTCTGTTGTATGCTGAGCTGGTTTCAAAGCCGCTTTAGGCAGCATCTGTTCTCCTGCAAGCTCTCTGCCCATCCCTTGCCTGGATCGCTAGGCTTGCCAAGAGTCCCCAGCTGGAGCTGTAGGAAGGCTGGAGCTCCAGCACCACCATTCCAGGTAACCTGAGTCCTCCTGAGGTGGAGGAGTGGGAGTTGGGGCCGTGATGCCCACACATCAGCCATCTCAGTGTGGCAGGGATGCAGATGCTTCTCTGGAGGCTCTGCACTCATTCCCATTAAGCATGCCTGCTCCTCACTGACCTCCCCTCATAGCCGTGTGATGGTCTGCAGGGGTGGTCTTCCCATGGCAGTTCTGACCCTCCTTCCAGCAGGCCTGTTCACTCTTTTACTCACCACTGTGTACTGCTGGAGAAGAGCCGCGCTATTACACGTGGATGCAAGACAGGTGAAAGAGGGTGCCAGCCTGTGCCCATGCCTCATGTGGGCCTCCAGCTTAAAGCCCTGAGGCTTCAGCGGGCATTTTGAGGCTTGCAGAATCAAGTGCTCTTGAGATCTTCAGGCATACAGCAAGTGTAGGCTGTGCTCAGCTCTACAGCTGATACCCAGCCGAGGTCTTAAATTGCACAGGCACAGCTCATCAGTGGCTCAAACCAGTTTGTTTTGACATACACCAGATGACTTGAGTCTTAGAATTTGTCACTTCTGTTTCTAAGTCTCCAAAAAGTTCCTGGTGGTAAAATCCATTGTGGAACACTTTGAAAGGCTGAGAAGAAACATGTGAGAGTAAAACTTGTTCCCATTCCACCCAGGCTGCTTTTTGAACATTAAAAGTCTGTTTGTCTTTATCAGAACTCCACAGGCTACTGGTGCAGTCTTCAGCCTCTCCAGCAGCTAAAAATCTGGTAGCAGGTATGGGACAGGGCACAGCATATCTGCAGTTGCTCTTTTCCAAGTGCCAGAACAACCTATTAAGTACAAAGTCCTGGCTAAAGAACGGCTAAGTGCTGGCTAATGTTTTAATATATAACTCCTCTCCCTCCCACTTACCCATATTTCATAGCTAACCAGTATTGTCTGCTAGCTATTTTTTATATGGAAAAAAAGAATTCTTTTTCTTGTGAAGGAACAACCCCCACTGCACATGTGAGATGTACTATTGAGCCCACCAGACACGTGCAATGTCTGTCCCATAAAAGTGCACAGGGCTGCAGTTGCTCCAGCCTGGTTAATGAACCTTAGTTAAACAAAGACCATTAATTCCTTAGACTGATGTCCAGACAAGGCCTGAGAAACATCCATTAACTGTTCTCCACAAGCCCTCATCAAGCTTCACTTCTCCTGACATCCCCCATGGGAAGGAACTCTAGAGATGTGTTCAGAAGGCAAATTTCCTACCCCAGGCTACCGCACAGCAGGTTTTTCTGGGCTGTGAAGGTATAGTACCTGATCCCATTCAGACAAAAGAGATATAAGAGCAACTCACAGAGCATGAGTGAAGGATATCTGGTGGGTGCTTCTACACCCTCAGTTTCCAAATGTCCCTGTGGGAGATTGCTCCTTTCACAGCAGCATTGTTTTTCCTTTGAAATTGGTCTGGTTTGCAAAGGGGGGAGTTAGCAGGGAAATGGACTGACTGGAGGGAAATGGAATACTTTTAGCTTAGGCTAAGCTAAAATAATTTTTAGCTTCCACCACTGAACTAAGCCCCCATTGTTCACACAGCTCTAGAAGTGGGGAGTGCTCTGAGCAGGGCAGATTTGTACAGGCATTGCCAGTTTATGTTTAGGGGCTACTTTCTGGTGCTCTTGGTGACAGTTAGGGTTAGACCTATCAACAGAGACAGCACAGGGGAGGGCCAGATCTACACACATACAACTTGTTGGTCCTTCTCTCCTCCTGCTCCCACAGCCTCTGCTCCCTAAGAGTTGCTTTATTATGGAATAGCTCCTCCTGAAACTGTTTCTTGCCTTCATCCAGAATCCCTCATTCTTCACTCACATTTCCTTTTGCAGATAACCTGACAGATCGGTGTGAAAAAATGGTGTGCCTGTGTGACCAAGAGGCAGCCAAGTGTTGGGGAGCAGCCCCATACAACCCACACTTTGTCCTCTGGCCAGACTTTTTATGTGGACAGACTCATCCCACCTGCCATTTTGGATATGGGGGGCCAGAGTAGGTTTTTTTAGGACCTTTCTTATAACCCTTTGAATCTGAAGGCGCTGGAATAAAATTTTACCTTTTTTACCAGGGATAACAATGGTGTGAGAGAATTTCTGTCAGGACAAGGTTTATGGGGAGGAGTAACAGGGTAACATACATGCTGAAGGATAAGATCCTGCTCTGATCATGGCCTTCCCAGAAACAGAGGGTTTGGTCTGCAGCATAGTGGGAACGCATTACCCGTCACCAAATGGCTTTTTTGTCCTTTCACATTGCCTGACCTGCCTCCCACAGACATGATCTGGAAAATACGTAGAGATTTCTGCTGGGCTGTCTTGTTAAAACAAACCAACAAAGAAACAAACCATCTCTGGGAAAGATACACCGGCCTCGGAAGTCCTGGGGCATGCCAAAATGGAAGCAGAGTGACCCACTTAATTTTCCTAGACCTGCAGAAGAGGGGACATCAAAGAGGGAGGAAGCCTCCTTATTCTTTATTTTTGCTTGAAGGGATTTTGCTTCCCACCAGAAGGAAAAGCAGAGCCTGGCCCAGGGCAGGGCTCCATCCTTTCCTGCATGGTGTGTGTGCGTTCTTCTTAATTTATATAGCCAGCTGTCTTATCCCTCATGTTCCTGCCTCACAGCACTGGGGACCCTTCTGAGATGTGTTCAGAGGTAAGCAGAGTTACGCTGGCCTACTGCTGTTGCAAAGCCAGCAAGGGTTTCTGACTTCTACTTGCTAGCAGGCACACCCATACTTTGCAAAAGAACTTATTCCCTACCCAGTACACATGCTTCAGAGCTGATACGGTGCTCTCCTATACATATAGGAGGTGCTCTCCTATATTGCCATACCCCCTGGTTACTGATCACCTGGGAATCAAATACTTTCTTGTCAGGAAATGGGGACAGTGGAGAACATTAGTCACATCAAACAAATCTTTCATCACTCATTTTAAGGGCATTACAGGCTTATATTGAAACACTAAGTTTCCTTCTGGCAAAAGTAAAACAAAATCCTATTCTTTCAGCCCCTGGTAGCTATATTCAAGTTGGCCACCTTTGCCTTTTTGGTACAAACCTGTAGGCTGGAGCAAGCCTGGCTCAAGAGACCCCACTTGGAGTATTGTGCATAGTTCTGGTGTCCTATACATAAGAAGGACATGGAACTGTTGGAGCAAGTCCAGAGGAGGGCCACAAGGAAAATAAGGGGGCTGGAGCACCTCCCATATGAAGACAGGATGAGAGAGTTGGGACTGTTCAGCCTGGAGAAGAGAAGGCTGCGTGGAGACCTCATAGCAGCCTTCCAGTATCTCAAAGGGGGCTACTGGATATTAGGAAGAAATTCTTTACTGTGAGGGTGGTGACACACTAGAACAGGCTGTCCGGAGTAGCTGTGGTTGACTCATTCCTGGTAGTGTTCAAGGCCAGTTTGGATGAGGCCTTGAGCAATCTGATCTAGTGTGGTGTCCCTGCCCATCCAGGGGGATTGGAACTACCAATCCTAACCGTTCTTTGATTCTATCAAGCCAACAGGACAAGAGCCTCTATATTGGGAAGTGGAGACAGATAGGAGTCACGGTTGCACTCCCAGAAGCAATACATTTGATTTTCTGGGTAGGTGTTAGCAGCTGGGGATCTGTGGGGTTTGGGTAGGTCAGGCTCCTTCTGTCTCTTCTGAAGCACAGCTAACAAACTTCAATACTACCTTTAAAATAAAAAGCAATGGCAGGGAAAGATGCAATGTACCTCATCAGACCCTAAATTCAGAGGTATGAGGTCAAACTAAGTGAGTTTTGGCAGTCAATAATACAAATGTCTTCACAAAAGGCTGTTTTGCTCCTGGCTGCAGGAGGATGCTGAATATGCCACTGTGTCTGAAAAGCTGCAGGAAAAAGAAACAGACTAACAAAAATAAAATGCCAAAGACAACATGTATTGAGGTAAAGGCTTTTATTCCATCTAGAGCTCCATTTTTGGCTTATGGGGTGTCAGAAGTTGTTCCACCTGCAGGTTTTGCATCTTCCAGTGACTCTTGTAAAGCTGCACCTCAAGCTACACGGAGCAAGAAGGAGAGTGAGTGATACAGAGTTAATACAACACGATAAACTCTTCCAAGGTTTCCTGGCAAGTAAGGAAGTTGTGACACTGTTCCTGCAGAGGGTTTGCAAAGGGATGATGCTGTGTGGACAGCAGCAGCCACAGGGTGTGGGTGCGTGTCTCGGCAAGGGCTGGAAGACTGTGCCCCTGTCTCCACCACGCTGGCCATCAGGTGGCGGCAGCGGCACAGTAAGTGGCGAGAGCATCTTTCCCTCCAGGGATTTCCTTTCTGAGCAGGACGAGGAATATTTTTGGGTGCTGGGGTAAGAGGTACAAACCACACAGCTCACCACTGAAAGCAGAAAGTCAGCTGGGCTCCGTCTGAAACGCAGACCACATCCTGGTTGTGCAAAATGGGAACTAGGCTCGTTTCAAAATCCAGCCTTCAGTGTCAGTCTACTCTAATTGGGCCAGCTGACAGAGGTGGAAAAAACCAGGCCAGCTTTCAGGTTCATCAGTTTCTTCTCGAGTCATTTATTTGGCTCATATCTAGGCATGGAAATGTCTAGTTTTGCCAACCTGATCGGCTGATCTAATAAAAGATATTACTAGGCTTTCCAAACCACACCTCAAACACACACTTAGGCCATCACAGGCTTTCTGTATGCAAAGCATTACAAGAATACAGATGTAAGCACATAGTTGGTGGGAAGAAGAACCATCCTTCAGCATGAACCTAGAAGAAGTGAAGGGGACCCAGGACTTCATTAAAAGAAGCAGTAGCATCTCATCAAACAACTCTGCTGAAGTGGAAATTAAATAAAATCCTATTGTTTTGTTTATAGGAACTCATTAGGCCCACGCATGAAGCTCTACCCTACATAAATAAAGAACTATTTGAAAAAGAGAATACAGAGCCAGCCCTGTTAGAGTTTCATCCACGTTGCTTATTTCCTGAACCAGGTACTGTGTCTGACCAGAAGTAAGTGAATGGCTAATTCCTGCTTAAGTTCAAAAAAACAGGTACCTTTGGAAACAGACGATTAGGTTCTTTCTGGCAAGGTATTCCAGGCTTTGGCTTGTGTTTCTTACCTTGGTGAGAGCCTTGTCTCATGCAGAGGACACACCTCTTCAGCTGGGGGGTTAAAATAATGATCAGAACCATTATTCCTCCAACACCAGCTGCCACAACCCCAATTATTGTTCCAATGGATTCTTCTATACCAAACAAGCCTGGTGGAGAAGGAAGGTAGAGAGAGTAACAACAAATGTTGTCCAGACAAGTATATGCAATGCAGCCAGCATGTTTTCTGCAGTGGCTGCAGAGGAAGCTACTTATGGTGATATCAATTATGTCTAACATGAAATCATGGACTTCTACATGGAAGAGAGTGTATCGGACTATGGAGCTCAATTTTTATTTTATTCCAATTTAAGAAACTGCTACACTTTCTGGGGATTTAGATAGGACAGCCCATCTCTCTTGCAATCTCCCTTAACAGCTAGATGCTATGGCAAAAGATGCTGCTGCAGAGATAAGGAATGAATATGCAAGTTTGTGGGTTGGAGAGAAATTATATCCAAAAAAAGGAGTTTGGAACTGTTTTCTAAGACAGTATCTTGACACCTGTCACTCATGGAGGTTCTGCTAAACAGAGATGTGAGTATAAGAAAACTTGTCTGGCTGTTTCATTCTTGGCACTAACACTGATTTTAGTGATAAAACTATTCCTTCTCTTTTGGTTGTAAATGCACTTCCTTATAATAATACCCATGTGACTGCTTACAGAGGCAAGCCAATGAAAATTATCTGGCTTAACGAAAATAATGAGAAATGCTATGGAGCAACTGCACTTCATGACACAAAGCCCTAACAGGTAGAGACCAAGCAGGCCAACCTCTTTCTTTTTGCATGTGTGTAGACCATCTCTGGAGAAGAAAGAAGAAAAAAGAAGTAAATAACATCAAATATTACCCAGAGCTCTCCTGATCCTGAGCTTTGTCCCATCTCCTGTCACCACCGTCCTGTCTGGAAGTGTAACCTCACAGAAATAAATACCATGGTCATTGATTGTCACATTGAGGATCACCAGGGAGGCATCCCCTTGGGACAAGTCTCCACTCATGAAAAACCTGGAGTTATTTGTCAAGACAGTCACATTGTTTTCTAGCAGGTCCATCTGCCCCTTTTCATCTTCTTTGTACCACTTCACCATCAGGTCAGTCAGGGAGAGATGCTGTGGACTGTTAAAGTGGCAATTTAAGACCACAGTTTCACCCTCTTTGGCTTTTTCCTTGGCTGGTGTTTGAGTCACCAAAAGGTGCCATGGCTCAGGTGTTGTCAACGATGATGGCTGTGCTGTAATGCCAGTTACAGCTGCATTCTCCTTGCTTGCAGTTCCACTGACACTGATATCTGCACCAGGAAAAAGAAAGAAGAGGAAGGTTGAGGGTGATATCATGACAAACCTTCCAGCTGCTCCTGAATCCTAACCAGCACAAAGAATGGTTCCTGGAATTAGGACTTGAGGGTAGTCACTATTAGGATGATAGGCATTTTCTTCCTAGTTTCTGCTCAGATTATATTAATGTGTAAAGATAGGTCTTTTTTTGATCCTCAGTTCCTTTCTACTGCCATACTAGAGGAGGAGTAATGCCATTGTCCAATGGCTTTGGGTTAAATTTAGAACCCATTCAGCTGTATTTCCACATAGAACACTAATTTCTTTCTTCCCACCCCAATAGGTCTTGGGGCCTAATGTTCCTGCTTCAACTGCTTTTGAGGCAAAGCAAAAAAATGTACATACACTTATACACAAGCAGCTTTGTTCCGACAAGTACAGTGAATATATGCATATCTTAATGCGGCTGCCTGCATCCCAAAATGTAATGTGAGTGTCTCAGACGTTTTGGCACATACTTCCAGTTTCAGGCTGGGAAATCTTGAAATTGATGGCAGAATTTCCATTGCCAGAAACTGAATGCCCAGCAGATCCTATCAGCAACTTGGGGAATGGCACTTTAACATCCTGCAAGTACTGATACTGAGGGTGATATCTATCCTTTGTGAAGGGACCACATTGTCCTGCTAACCTGGGTTAGAAAAATATGGACAACATGCCTGTATACAGATTTAAACCTGCCTTCTCTTACTCAGCTTCTAATCATAGTATCAAACAGCCTCGAGATAAGAGTACTGTGAGTAGATCTCATTTCTGGAAACAAGCCTGGGCTCAGAAGATGAGGGGAATAGTTGCTGTCTCAAAAAGAGGAAAAAACAAACTCTTGAAAATAAGCCAACAGCTGTCTCTAAGAAAAGTGTTCAGACCAATTTTTGGAAAAGTTTCTCCTGCTGTTTTATTTTCTTCAAGTGAAATAGTCCTCCTTCACCCTAGTTGGATGTCCCAAGGACTGCAGACCATTCCACAGTGTGGAACTTGATTTTCCATTGTCTTGAGTCTTTCATTGCCATCCAAAGGATATGAAAGCTATTGTCTGGGTCTGGTAAAGCTTCACAATGACAATATTCTTCTATGCTCAGGGACAAATATCTGAGGCAATGGAAAACCAAATGCCTTGATTATTGGTTTGAGAGCTATTTGCATGGCTCCTCCAGGCATGCTTATACACAAAATCACAGTTGTATCCATAGTTATTGTTATTTATGACTCTTATGGGAGTAGCACTGAGAATCAATGTCAGCCAGCAGGGCCCTGTTGTTCTAGGTGTCTTATGAAAGGATGGGGTATAGAGCTTACAGTTTAAATATCAGATGAGATAACTCATAGATGTGAAAACATAGAACATACAAGCTGTCTATGAAACTAGGCATCAGCAAAGCATGTGAAAAATCTTCAGAGCTGTCTGGTGCTCCGTGCTTCTACCTCAAAGTGAAAATCTTGGCCTTGTAACTGGAAGACTGATCCATGGGAACTGGATGCCTGTGATTTAGGTACCCAAGTATTATTGCAGTTTTGGATCCAGTCCCTTAAAACAAGTAGTCCTTATTAAAGATAGTGGATGAGATATTATCGTGATCACACATAACTTTACCAATAAGCCCATTGGATCTTTCTGGGGGAATGTGAGGTCCAGATTTTCCCTTTCCATTTAGATAACTGTATCAATGCAGCAGTCATAAAGTGGAAGTATCTTGACAAGGTACTTTGATGATGTATAGAGTCTAGTTGAAATACTCGACAAAGCTGAAGGTAGCTTGACATACTACAATCTTTGTGCACCAAATATTCTCATGTGACGGATTTGGTTGTTTGTTGGAGTGAATTTGGGCAGTTTTGTCATAAGTACTCTTTTAAAATCTCTGTTTGTTAACCATTATCATCAACTGAATACTGCTGCTTCAGCTAAAGCAGATGTGCTACTGCTACCTTGTTTTCAAGGAATGGCCACAGAATTTCTTGTCCACTACAAATATTCCAGCCTTACCATATACAGTCCCTGCAACACAATTATGATTTTTTATTCCTTTTAGTGATGTAAAAGTTATCATTTTTACACAGTCAGTGGCACAGAGAACATAACTGGGCAGAAACAATGTGCTTTGATGTTGTCTCTGTTCATCATGAGTTTTATTTGCACCTCCTGTCATGAAAAATTGGCCTTATCATCTGTTATCCCACATCTTTGATTCAATACAAAGCATGTAACTTAAAGCTAATTAGGAAAATCAAAACGCAAGAGGAGTAGGCTGTATTATTTTTTCCCAGCTCTGTTTGGGGGTTTCACTGAGAAGATCACAGCACAGACTCTATTTTTCTTTGTTTCTGTCTTTCTTTCTTTTTCTTTTGAAAGGTTGCATAACTGGAACATAATAGTTCAGTGGTATTCAAATACACAATGCCCTTATCATACTGGCATCTGGGAGCATAGCATGCCAAATGCCTTGTTGACTTTGCTTCAAAGCTTTTTTTAAGTCAAGTGTTTCATTAGCAGTGATGTGTGGGTCCTCAGTCATGTGGGTTGTAGGGCTCAACCCCCGAAGGAAAGGAATTCAAGGCTTTTTGGATGAAAGCAGTTGAGATAGACAGAGAAATACAGCATGGATGGCCTTGTCTTCACCTGAAAACTGATTGGATGATCTAATAGGTCACCGTCATATGACATTGGTTGCTCATGGCCAGTTTTCAACCACGAGGGGAGAAAGCTCTCTGGGACTTCATGTAATGTGACAATGTACTCCACATTTGGCAGTACTAATAAGGCACCTACTAAGCCATTAGCCTCCCCTTTATAGAATCTGCAGGTTGATACTTCCCCATGTAAGGCCATACCACTGGCTGTGAATGAGAGATGCACAAGGGAAGCTACAGGAGGTGGGGTGACAACAGGAAAGAATAAAATACACCTGCACTCTCTTCCAGCCCTGACGCCTCTAATTTACTTTTTGGTGCCTGGAGTATTCCTGAGCAGCCCTGCAAGCTGCCACCATCAGGGAAGCAGAATGGTGGCTGGAGGGCAGTGCAAAATTTTACCTCTCTAGTAGAGCCTCCTCTCCTTTGCTCACACTCAATAGATGAAGGAGAGGTTGAGGGCAAACAGGGCTCGATTTCCAACCCAGAAACAAATAATCTCATTCTGGAATGACCATCTTTGAAATGATTTTGTTGGTTTTAGAGCTCAACTTCACACTCCGCTGGTGCCATGGAGGTGCTTTACAAGCTGCATCCAGCTCCCAGGTATCTAAGATTAAGTGATCAATGACTGCACATTGCTCATTTTAATTTACATGACTTTTGCCCTGGGCTGAGGTTGGCTTTTGCAAATGTATTGTGGCAATAACCAGTTGCTAATACATCAGAAAACTAAAACAAAAATAAGTTTTCTACTGATGATTATACACATCTTGAGAAAGACATACTCTTTCTGAACATTTCTATTAGCTAATCAGGAATGCATCCATAAGGCAAAGTATGTTTTAATGCACTGCACAACACTAGGTACTGTTTTCCTGCATCCTGAAGAAGCCTTCAGTGGAAAGTTGAGTTTTGAAAAAAGAAGAGAACCTCTCAAGCCAAACTGTAGAAGTAGGCGGTATTTCTTCTAATTAAGGAAGGTGGCTTAGTACTCACCCACCAGCAAGAAGAAGAGGAATGAAGATGCTGCAGATCTATAGAGTTTCCCAGTGTTCTGGCTCATAGCTGCTGAAGTATATGGCCTCACCGTCTCTCCCTCTGATAGCACGGGCAAAACAATATGTGTATGCTATTGCAACAAGACCTCACATTCTGCCCTGTGAATGTCACACTTACTAAAGTTACCACAGCTTTGAGCTCACAGTGCTCTGCTCTGGATGACAGCCACTTTTGAAGTGACAACAATGACTTCCCGGGGGCTGTTCTGATCTCTCCCTGAGAAGATGCTGAAAATGCTCTGAAAGCAGAGGGAAGATAATAACATTGTTTTCCACTTTGGCTTTGTATATACTGCAACTGTGGGCTGAGTACAGAATATCCAGATATTCAAAAGAAGATCTCTCTTCTGCTGAACCCCTCCATAGTTGAGGTAAGAAGACAAAGAGCTTATACTCCATTTAAGTAAAGGAGGCTGGAGAGGAAAACTGCTACAGCAGACGGCCTGTCTGCAAAACTAGCAGATGTGCTCTGGAACAGAGTCTAGGTTCACAGAAAGGTACACACGCTGCACTGCTTTGTGGGAAGAGCTTCAGCAGCCCCAAACCCCGACCTGCAGCATCCATCCCCGCCAGCAGTGCCACTGCTGTACCAAGCATGTGACATTCTTGCTGGCTGGCTGACACCACTTACACTACTTCCCTCAGCTGCAGGGTCAGGGATTATGGCACACCTTATCTAACCATTCTATTTATCTTTAAGACTATTCAGATAATGGAATTGTACTTGGGTATCCAGTAGAGACTCAATTCCATATCTGTTCAAACACATACAAAGCACAATTCAGCTGAGATAGATAGGCAGGAGTATTCCTGCTTTTCTTTGCACTTGAAAGCAAAAAGGACACCAAAAAATGTCCCCACCACACCGTAAGGAACTCTGTCATCATGCTACTGGCATGCAGCTTTCTTGAATATGCTTTTAATGAATTCTGTCATGTTCATCTTTGCATGTGAATGCTTCTCAGTAACTGTTTCAAGAAATCCCACATCTGACTTGCAAAACTCTGCTGACCGAACATCAAAAGAAACAACCCATTCCTTGAGTGACTATTTGTTGCTCTAGCTTTGGTGTGGTAACACTTGTATCGGCAAAAGCAGGATAGGCTAAAAAGAACCTAAAAGGCAAGTATTTATTCTCTGAAATGGGTTGGGAGAGCCAGAAGACCTGGGATTGCCAGGCAGGAATCACTCCAAAGTAAACTATACATAAGAAGGGAACTGGAACCAAGTGCAAAACAACATAGCACTTCAGTAGGAAGATGGAAGGTAGATTGTGAGGGTGTTCTGAAGGAAGTACTGCCAAACTGTTAGTGTGCAAACCCAAAATATCTACAAAAGGAAGAAGTTAGAAGAGTCAAAACCAATCAAGAGTTTGAGGAGGGAATAACCAGCAGAGCCAAAGGCACCTGGCAGATCAAGAGGAACTAGGGCTGATTTACTGGCTTAGAGTACTGGCCATGACTGTATGTCAGAGAAGACAGCGTGGGAAAATGGAGCTGGACCAAAGGATTCCAAACAGTGTCTGATTCAAACCTAAGTATTTGGTGTGTTTCTAAAAAGCCCTCAAGTGTGTTGTGATGGACACACTACCCACAAATGCTGTTTCTGTTCATGTCAGCCTGTAACAGCAATTCTCTCATGAATCCTCCATCAAATAGGACATGCCTGAGCATAACTGTCAGGTCAGCCAGCTTTCAACTGAGGGAATACAAGGGGTTTTAGTCTTGCTGGCAGCCGTCAGTTGAACATGAAGCTTTTTCCACTTGGATAACCCAACATGATTCAGGCAGAATCACAATTTTTGGACAAAAAGAAAAGTAAACTGGTCCCCTGAATGTTGTTGAGAAAAGCTTAAAAAATTGAGTTTCAGAGGTCAAAGTCAAGACAGCAAGCAACAAAAATGAAATAAACCAGACATGCTTTTTCACATTTTCCTGTAAATTTTGGAGACTCACAGTTGGCAGTGGTGTCCCTCTGTGCTGCTGGCAGGGTGGGGAGAAGGAAGAGAACTGGGAGTGAAGTTGAACCTGGGAAGAAGGGAGGGATGGGAGAAGATGTTTTTAATATTTAGCTTTATTTCTCATTACCCTACTCTGACTCAATTGGTAATAAATTAAACTAATTTCTGCAAGTCAAGTCTGTTTTGCCCATGACAGTGATTGGTGAGTGACCTCTCCCTGTGCTTATCTGGACCTATGACTCTTTTGTTGTATTTTCTCTCCTCTGTCCAGCTTAGAAGGGGGAGCGACAGAGCAGGTTCAGTGGGCACCTGGCCTCCAGCCAGAGCCATCTCACCACAAAGCTGTCCTGTCTGGGCCTGCAGCTGCAGGCAGGAATGTCAGCCACAGGGACTTTTGCTAATGTATCAGTGGGCAGATATCACATGGCCCAGAGATGTGCCTTCAGGGAAAGCCTCGACCCACTTTCTGGGGAAGTTTTGTGAGAAAAAGGACAGCTGGAAGAAACAGCCCTCCCATGCCAGGCTGCTGTACTTCTCCTTCCCTTGGACAGGCATCCATCCATCCATCCATCCGTCCATCCACCCGTCCGTCCACCCATCCATCAGTCCATCCATGTATCCACGTTCATTGCCTACCAGCCATCCCCCCAGCAAGGTGGCGATTTCGTTCCGGGTCACAGGGTTCTTCATTTTCCTGTGAGGTGACTTGAGGGCACAGATGTGCAAGCCATTATTGCTCTGCTCAGGTTCCCGGTTTTGAGGGGCACGAACTTAATTGGAGCCCAGCTTTCCAAACCTCTGAAAGCCAGAGCAGTTTTAAAGCTGCCCGGCACCCCCGGGCAGCTTTAAAAAGTCTGCCCACCATTTACTTCCTTCACTTCCCCTCACCCCTGCTCAGCCGGCAGCCTCCCCGCACAGCAGCTGGGCTGGGGCAGGCCTCCGCCCGCTACCCCTCCAGCACCCGCGAGGCCGGCCGGCATAGTCGGGACGCGGGGCCCGGCCCAACACGGCGGCAAGCGGCTGATGGCAGGCTTCCCTTCCCCTCCCTCCCCCTAGGTGTCCCCGCGGAGCGGCCTCTCGGCAGTGTTTTCCGCTGAACCCTCGTCACGTTTAGGAACGGCTTTCGCGGCCCGGGCGTTGTTTAACGACTGCCGGGGCTGTGCGCCAAGGGAGGGCGGCGGGGCGCGGGTCTTCCCCTCAGGACGGAAGCAGTTAACGCCGCCTCCCCGGACCCCCCCGCCGCCGGCGAAGTTTTTCCTGCTAGAGTCCTCAAACTTTCCACCGGCTCCGAGGCTTCGTGATTAACCCTTGTGGAAGCCGCCGAGAGGCTGCTGGAGCGAGCCGAGGCGGCAATCGCCGGCCTCGCAGACCTGACCTCTCCACTCCCCGTACCGGCTCCCCGCTTGACTACCACTTCCCGCCTCGGCCCTGCGGCCCAGTAGCGCCTGCTCCTTTAAATAGCGGCCACGGCCCCGCCGTGCGCCCCGCTGAGGCAGTTAGCGGGTGCCGTGCCGCTCTCGCCCCCTCCATGGTAAGAGCCGTGGTCTGTGCGTTCCCCGCCCGCGCCTTCGGCGGGCTCCATACCCCCAGCAGCTGCCCCGCCACGGCCCGCCGCCGCACCGACCCCCGGGGCGAGTTGGCCGCCGGCGGGCTGCGCAGGTAGGTGCGGAGAGGGTGGGGGGGCGGATCCCCGCTTCTTCCCCGGCGGACGCGACGGGCGGGCCGAGGTCGCGGGGCTGCCCGGAGGTGCGGGCCCGCCGCGCTCCGCTCCGCCGCCCCCGCACACCGCTCCGAAACTTTCTTGGGACGAGGCGGGCACGGCCGCGGGACGGGGCTGCTGTCCGGGCCCGAGCACTGCCGGCGCGGTGGGCCGCCGGTGAGGAGGGGCTGAGGGCGGCCGGCGGGGCTGCTGCGGACCCCGTAGGGAAGAGGGTCCGGGCTCCCGGGTGCCGAGAGCTCCCTGGGGAGATACCCAGCCGCACTGCCGGATGGTGGCTTCGGGGTTGCTGTGGCAGCCGCTGGATTCTATCAATATGGTGGGTCGGGAGGGTGATCCCGCGGCAGTATCGGGTCTGCCTGCCGTGCGTGAAGCCGGGGTGATGAGCAGCAACTAGTGGAAGAGTGGCGAGTCCGTGGGTTTGCGTGGAAGACCGCCAGTGAGCAGCTTTTCTTGCCCCACATAGCCCGGGGTGTCCCTGTTTTCTGCTTCACCCCGGTGCCTTCTCTCGAACGTACCCCCAGCCGGGGCCTACGGTTTGGCTGGAGCCTCGCAAGAGTGCTGGCCTGCTGGCGGGGTGTTGGCACCCCTGTCTAGCCATGGGCGTTTGTGTGAGTGCCAACATTGCTCTGGTTTCGAGTCGTTTTAGACCTGAAACCCAACTTCATCTCTAATTGATGGGTCCAGTAATACAGGTGGTGTTAGTGCTCGGTTAGGGCCCTGCGCTGGTTGTGTACAGTTTCTTAGGCGGCTTGGGGCAAGTGAGTTTTTTGGCTCAGTTTCTCTTCATAAAGTAAAACTGACCTCCCAAGTGGGAGAGATACTAAGGGAGATTGTGTGTAAGCGTAGAAGTGTGCTTATCTTTGTAATAAGTGATATGAATGGAACTGTTTGCCTCTGCATGTTGCCCTTTTATTGCTATAGAACAAAACGGACAACTTGCAGTGTAACCAAGTATAAATATTTGATGTATCTCATTATAATAACATATCTGTCAGCTAGTAAATGCTGCACCAGCGTGACCTTTCTTAAGTTTTGAAAGGTCCCACAGATTCTGGAGACATGTTGATGTCTCATGTTGATGTTATTCCGGCTTTAATTGTCTGTGCAGCTTGAGTGTTCAAGTTAAGTGGCTGCTGTGGAAATAAAATACTCATAAAAACTAAAGCAATAATTAACTATAGTATACTCTTGGAAAAAATGTATTTAACATTTGGAAAAGCTGTAAGTGGGAAGTCCTTCCATGCCACTCAACTTGGTGAAACTAGCATGTCAAGTTTTACTTACCATGTACTTGTTATGTGGATCAACCATCTTATTTTGCTTTTCTCCTCCATTGTTGGAATTACATACCTTGCTTCTTTGTTCATAGGAAGTTCATGAAGTGGATCATGGTCTTATTAGCCAGCTCCTTGCTGATTCAGAGGAGACTCCTAGTTCGTGCACAGAGAAAATGCAGGGTCCTGCTCAGTATAGCTGGAGTGCTGACTGGAGCTTTTGGGTAACATGTTTTATCTTTCTTCCAACTTGTGTTTTCTTTATAAATATATATATATCTCCTGATTTTTATGTGTATATATATATACTGGCTTTATATCCACAGTTCTCAAGTTGCTTTGTAGTCATGAATTAGTAAAGCGCTCTCCACCCATGTAGTGAGGTAGGTAATTTTATCATTATCAGCTTACTAAAGTGTAAGCTGAGACTGAGAGGGGGTGAAGCTGTTTACCTGATGTCACCTATCAAGTTAGTGACAGGACTTCTGGTTTCTGTGCCCAGTCCTGTCTCCCAGTTCCTTGCATAGTTCATTAACCTATCCATGTCTCTCTCCATGCCTTTAGAAAGACATTGTTGTTGGTGGTGCTTTTTAACAGTAAGGGCTGAGTTTTGATTCTCAGTGCTGGGTAGCTCTTCAGATGTGCGCTCCTAGTGTCTTTTGTCAAGTAAACATATTTGTTTTTCACAAGAGTAAATAAGCTTCCAGTGTTCTATGTAAAGAATGGGATTTATGAATAGGAAGGACAGGAAGGTGGGATTTAATTTTGCTCCGGTCCAAGGAGATGCCTCATTGAAAGTTAAGGGTATAATAATAAATGCTGTCTTTAATTATTCAATACTTTCGTCATCATGCTTTTGATGGATTTCTCCTCTTTCCTTCCCTGCCCTCTCCCCCTCTCTCCGGTGCAATGAGAGAATGTAAACTTATGGATGTATACTTAGAGTGTAAGTTTTGCTGTTAGTTTTGTAGATGGGTTGCTGCAGTTCAGAAGGGAAGGGAATCACTTGTGGCATGCAGCCACAGGCAGGGTAACACCTGATCTCATGAAGCACTTAGATGCCCTTCCTCACGGCTCTGACAGTCTGACTCAGGTTCTGCATCAGGAGGCCTCAGTAAATTGGCATGCTTCAGCTTGTGTATAGGAGCATCATCGGGACTACTGTGTCCATGTACCGATGAGGTCAGCGAAGTGTTCATTGTGCTCAGCAGGTGAAAGATTAAGTAACTAGCGAAGGCCGTAGGGAATCTGTGGCAGACCTGCAAGCAGAACTACGGGATCAGATTTCCCAACTCTGTCTGTATAAATCTAGCTCGTATGCCTTTTCATTCCTCCTGTTCAAACTAAGCGGATGTTCTGCTGGTCTGAACATTGGTTTTGTATCTTGGGCCCTGGTATAACCTTCCCCTGAAATGCATGAGTACTTTTAAACTGAACAACAGTAATCTGGAGCCAGTGGAAACGGGACAGGCCAAATGAATCCCAGCAGGCTGTAGACTTGGGTTGCTAGACAGTGAGTGAATACTTGAGTATTTTCTCCTCTGTTCCTACAGTGGCAGCGATGATACAGGGTTGTTCTGCCTTGTGCCCAGCTGTATATCTGTATGTGAAGCAATAGCAAAGTGTGCTGCACAGATGTTGGAACTTACAGCTATGCTCTCGTTAGATGGCAAATTAGATTGTGCAAACTAACTCTTGATGGTTTGTATACAACCATTAAAGCAGTTGGTAGTTTGTGAGGTAAAACCGTGCTTAGGTCTTGGGGCCAGTTTGTTGGACTTACAGTTAGCAACTCTGTTTTTCCTTGATCTGCTTGGCAGTATAAACTAAAGTCAGTAAAATGGAATATATGAGGAATATAACCATGCTACTGGCTTTGCATTGTTAGGTTTGAGACATGAGGGTTAGAAGTTTCTTTGCACAGAGCTTTAGGCACGTACATATTGTGTGCGCTCCCAGTGCCATTTTCTGCTTCCTGTAGTAATGTGTGCCTGTAATTTAGGGGGAATGGGATTCTTCAGCACAGTAGCAGCCACTAAGAGAGGTGTTGTCTGGTATGATTAAATGGTTGCTTTCTGTCTGATTTATACTTCAAGACCTTAGTATTTGTTTGAAGTTAGTGTTTATCAGGTTCTGCAAATATGATCTTGCAGTTAAAACAAAGGAGTCGTGTAAATACTTGCTTCTTCTAAGATACCACTGTGGCTTGTAAAGTGGCTTATAAAGCCATACTGTTTGTCACTGACTGTTTTTAAAAAACCTCTACGAAGCTGGTTATAGGATGCTGTGGTACTCATTTATCTCACCCTCAAGGGACTCAACTTGGAAGCTGCAAGAAGCAGAAAGTCACAAATTCAAGACAAGTTAAGATATTCTAACTAAAATGTTATGTCATTGTCATCTTTCCCTGGTCTTCCAGACAGAAAATGTGTTTTAATAACTTGTATGGTTTATGATCAGCTGCTGACTGTATAAACAAATCGTTAAAACTCCCTAAATACTGAGTCATAGTAAATGTGTAGGTGATAACACGGAAGGCAGCTTGTTGCAGTGTGCAAAGCATGTGTCACTAACATCTGACAAAGGATGACCTTTGTGTCCTGTAGCAGGTGTGGATTTGTTATGCTCATTCCTACTCATAGGTCACTAGGACTAAGGAATTGCTACAACAGCAAGAGTAGCCTGTGGTAGCATCCAGGGGTCAGCTTTGTTGCCTGGATTATTTACTTTGAGAGGCTACATCTTTCTGACAACTTTGGTTTGCTCCAGGGATTCATTTCTTCTAAGTACGTACGCTTTGCTTCTCTGATGATGGAAACCAGATGTGGATGTTAGAGCCTGACTGGTTTGACTTCAATTTCATGGATTTGAGTGGGAGTAAACAGTTGTGCCATGCCTCTGGAAGTCAGGCCAGGTATCATGAATGCTCAATAAGTGCTGTAAGCACATGTAATTAGCAGCAAGCTAGGGTTGGAAGCCTCTGGGATACAATTGCTCTCCTGGCTATGGTGAGTGGGGAGAAGGAAGGATAGCAGGAAAAATTAGCAGGGAAGGAAGAAGAGACTCCTACTATGCATAATTTCCCCCCATCTCTTAAAAACCAAACCACAACTTTGGCTAGCTTGTTGAAAAATTTTGAGAAGAAAGAATTTTCTGTGCTGTTGTAAGCAGTTCTTAAATTGATAGTGTTACTAACTGCTGGTGTTAAGGTGGATGGTGTCTGGGTGGGTCTTTTGTGTGTTTTGTTTGGGGTTTTTGGGGGGGCTGTTTTTTTTTTTTCTTTTTCCTCCCTTGTCTGAAGACTGTTCCCTGGAGGTGGACAAAGCCAGACTTCTAAAACCTCACTGGAGGAAGAAAAAAGCTTGATCACAAACTTAATCTGAGGGCTTTCCCTCTTCACTGGAACCTGTAAAGCTTGCACCTACTTTTGATTGCCAGTTTTGGCTACTGCAAATAGAAATGATGAAAGTCGAAGATGTTTTGGAAATTGTTATACCTGGAAGCCTCATCTCGAGAATTTGAATTCACTTTTTATCCTTTTTAAGCTCTTCATACTGAAATATAATTTGAATTAATATCCTTGGAAGAAGAAACCTTGTGAAAATCTTAAGTATTCTACTTGTAATGAAGAAGGTAAAGGTGAAAGAGGAAGCTAATCAAAAGGATCCTCACATCAAGACCGAGGTGTTCTGTCTGAGGACTCTAGTTTCTGTTAATAAGAAATCAAAGTAAGTCCACATGTGTCTACAATAAGAAGAATGCCTATGGAAAGAAAGAACAAAAAAGTAAGTCATTCCCTTGCAACGAAAAAGTAGGTGGAGAGTTGAAATCAAATGAGCATCTCGGAAAATTGCTGTTATCTGGGAGGCTTGTTTAAGAATTTGAAATGTGAGATGCCAAGTAGGTGTTGGGAAAAATAAGAGCATTTAAAAAAGCGAATCTGATGGCAATGTAATGTCAGTTTAAGGAGTTGGTCAGTGTAAAGGAGTACGACAATAGAAGCAAACAAATGCTACAGTCGAAAGTGAAAATAAGGCTTTTATTTGTACAAGATTTGGAAATGGAGTTTGAATTTTTACAGGCATGGATTTGGTTTCTGTGAGAGCTAGTCTGTGGGAGCGTGTGAGAATCTGGATGCCAAGAATATGATATATGACTCAAACCTGCACAGGACAGATGCGGATATACATTACTATTTGGAACATAACTTACTGCAGCACAGATAGAAGGTGGCATACTTGGGGCCAAAGGCCAGAAGGGTTAGATGAAGTATTTCTTGCATCTCTATAGTTTGAGTGCTTCTTCCACGTTTCTCTGAAGAGTCATGTTCACTCTGGGAATGGTTTACTGGGCTTGTTAGATCGGTAACTGTGTTTTGGCGGGCTGGTATTTAAGGCCTTCTGATGGTTGCTTCATCTTTGTGTGCTTGTTATGTTACTGCTTCTGAAGAAAACTTTTAATCTCATCTGTGCCTTCAAATGATTGGGTTATGAAGGACAGATATGGCTTGTGACTTTGGAGTAGGATTTTTAGCCTCCTATTTATTTGCTGGTATGAAGCAGTCTGCTGAGGAGGATGAGAACTGGGTGAATACTATAGGTCTCCAAAGAAGAAGACTCTTAAGCACGCTTATGCTGTTCTTTCTGTAAAGTGTCATAATAAGTACAAGCTTTTGCTGTACTTCTAGCACTGGTATGTTTTTTGTTTACATATATGGAATCTAGAATAGGTGCCTTTTCAGCCATGTGATAGCACTGATTATACAGAAGCAGTGCTTTAAAATGGTGGAAAACAACAAAATCTGTATTTCTGACTAGCTTTTGAACATAGCTGCTTAAGCTAAAGTGTTTTACTTGCTTCTCGTTCTGGGAATCCCTCTATTGCTGTTGATGCAGCTCGAAACTGAGCATTGGGGTAGATCCAACTGCTGTCAAGTTTCAGCCTGTTCCAGAGACTGGCAGTTGGTGCCCTATCTAAATAAGCTTTCCTCACCTGCAGCAGTGGGAAGCTATATATAATATTGAATTACTATTTTACACATATAAAGAATTAGTCTAGAACCTGAGGATTAAGTTTAATAGATTAGGAAGAAAATACTTCAGCTTTGTGATTTACTTCTGTTCTTTCAGTCACTGGGAGCAAAACCATTAGAAATTCAGTATAGTTCAGAAAAAGAGCGTGGAGTTGGTTGAATGGTGGTATCTATTTAATTGAAGGGCAGCAC